AGCTGGGACCACAGGCGCCTGCCACAACGCCCGGCCATTCTTTGGTTGTAGCCATCATTGTTGTTTGGCGGGCCCGGGCTGGGGATTCAAACCTGCCACCTTAGGTGTACATGGCTGGCACCCTAGCCACTTGAGCCATAGGTGCTGAGCCAACATTTTCAAAACCCATTATTCTGCCCACAACGGGAAGCTAGTCTTGAGACTGAGGAAAGAAAGGTGTCCAGGAAGCAAGAACAGCTAGTGCAAAGGCCCTGAGGCAGATACATGCCTGATACGGTCATGCAAAGTTAGAGTGGCCAGGGTGGAGTGGAGGAGCTAAGGGATCACACAGGTCATGTGGTCTCTGTAAGGATGTTGACATTTACCCTGAGGGAGGTGGGAGCATGGTGGGATGCTGAGTAGAGTCACATGACCTAACATTCATTTAAACAGGATTGTCTTAGCTGCTGATTGTGAAGGGGACAGGGTACAAATGGGAAACCAGTTAGGAGGCTACTGCTGCGATGTATGCAAGGGCTGGGCTGGGCTGGGCTGAGGTCAGTGATGAGAACCAGCTGGATTCTGAAAGGTAACACCGGGAGTACTTCCTGGCAAACTGGGCCTGATGTGGGTCTGGGTAGAGCAGTTGGGAGAATGGAGTTGATGAGTGAGGCTGGGATCCAGGGCATGGTGAACTGTAACAGGAGCTGGTGGGGACAAGGGACTGAGTCGTAGTGGGTCTTGTGACTAGGAAGCCAGGTTATCAGCACATCATGGGGCTGGGCAGGAGAGGTGAGCTGCAGGTGAGAGACAGTGGGAATCCCTGGGGTCCCCTGAAGCCTGGCCCTGGAACTCAAAGTGAGACTTTGAGTCTCACTTTGAGCTGCTAGTGAGGGGTTTTTCTCCAGCCATACTCCACTGCCGGGTGTCCATCCAGAGGCCAAAGGCTGGGTTTAACCAGGTCGCTGTCATAGCTTGTCCAAGAGATGCTGAAAGTGACATCAAGCTTGTGAGATTCTAGCTAAGTGAGGACAGCCCAGGAAGAAGTGGGCTGTGGAATGAGACGGGCACTGGGTCAAGACATGGGAGAGGTAAGGGGACTGAGGTTGAGGCAAAGTACAAAGCAGACATCCGGGATGGCAGCGAGGCCTGGAGAGCGTCAGCTGAAGCAAGGCAGGGTGTTGAAGGAGAGGACACCAAGGATGGACCCAGGAGCAGTGCAAGAGAGGGTGTGCTGGAGTGTCCAAGAATCCCAAGATGAAATCTTGCTGGGACAGGGGCCTGCAGTTACCCAGCAGGGGGGCGCTGGAGAGGCGGACGAGGAGGAGGAGGGGTGGGGAGAAGGAGAAGGAGGGCCTCATTCACCTCAGGGTTCCCCCGTGCCCAGGGACACTGGTTGGGCCCGGCTGCGACCCTAGGTATCAGAGCAGGAGGAGTGCTGTGGACATCACGCTCCAGGGATGGGGCACAGGCTGCGGCTGTGGGGCCGGGGAGTTCCTTCCACAGGAAGCTGGCTCAAGCTCCACTCAATATCACCCACATTGCAGAAATCAGCTATTGGTCCTAAGGTCACAAGCACAGAGCTGCAGAGCCCCCTTCCCCAGGCCACTTGGGGCTGCACCCCCAGATCCAGCGAGGGTGCGGAGAAAGGTGGGATTTGGAAGAGGAGAGAAACCACCAGCTTTGACCACCAGTCGGCGCCCGAGGACTGTGTGGATGATACATGGCACGGAAGTGGGTCTCCGGAGGCCTGGGCAGGGGTGGTGGGAGGGCAGTCACAACTCTGAGCCCCCAAACTCAGCATGGCGACATTGTCTGGGCAGCCTTTAGACTCCAGCAGCTGAGACCAAGTGCCTCCCTGTCCCTGGGTCCCTCCTAGGGATGCACCAAGTGCCTTCCTGTGGGTCTGACCCTGAGCTCCATGAGTGGGCCTGGGGAGAGAAGCCCAAGAGCATTTGACAAGGCTAGGGCTGGGGTGGGTAGATGGGCCCAGGTGGCTGCATGACTCATCACCGATGACCGATCCAGCCAGGGCATCTGCCTCCCTCCTGATGCCAGGCCCAGCACCAGAGCCTGTGTGACACACTGGTTTCCTGCTGGTGTGTGTGCAAGGTGGGAGGCACAGAGACTGATCCCATTGCCCATCTTGCCTCCCAGCCTCTCAGGCCTCCCCACTGAACCTCAGTTGGTCCTGGAGTCCCCTTTCTGCCCTCATTCCAGCCTTACAAAGACTTCCAGCTCCAGCTCAGAGATGCTTCTTCAGGAAGTACACCCTGATGACACCAGAGAAGGGGCCCCACCCTAGCAGCCCTCTCCCCTCCTGGTTCAGCCTCCACTCTGGCTGGCCACCAAGAAGCCAGGGCTGAGGGCTGAAGGCTTACACCCTTACTAAGCACCCAGCAGCCCCAGTGGGTACAGTTTTACTTTTTAGTTTTGAAAGCTTCACAAATGATCAGCAGTTTGTAGGGAGCACCTGGCTAGACCAAACTGGGGATGTGGGACCCTCAGGGCCAGCCAGGACCTTTTCTCATCAGCCCCTAGTCTAATGTGTTGGTTGGGGTAATGATGCTGTCAGTGGGTGGGGCACAGCTGTCCCCAGAAGGTGGTTGGGGGAGAAATGAGTTCACCTCTCCTCCCTTGGTGACTCACCCTAAGGGGGCACGGTGGAGGGGCTTCCTTATACCTTGAGGAGGGTAGGTGGAAGTTATCAGGCTGCCCTGTTCCCCTGAGGCCCCTGCTGCTGGACCTGCTTCCCCTTCTGGTGGGGAGATTCCCTCCAAGAGGAACGGTGTTGCCCTAACCTGCCTGAGGTCCTGCGCAGGCCCAGAGCATTTGCCTTTGTCCCTATTCCCTACATGGAGGCCAGAGGTGCTTCCCCCCTGCTGGTTTCCTCTGCTCCCGCTCAGCACCCCCACCCCACTGGGATGTGTGGCCAAGCTGTGACCCTCCCCCTACTTCCCCACAGGGATATGTGGTCAGAGCTGTTAGGCTGTGATGACCGATGCTGATGTAGACCCTACCTGCCCTGGGAGGGGCTCCACAGCTATGCCTCCAGGGGCTTTCCCGACTGATGGGGAGGGCCATGCCTTGGCCCAGGGCCCCTCCAGCTCAGTTGGAGGTGATGCTAGTCACAGAGAGCAGCAAGGGGGCCAAGAGCAGCAAGGGCAGAAGGCACCAAGCCTCTGACTCACCCAGGCAGGAAGGAGGCCCATGGCTTCTGCCCACGGCTTCTGCCCACAGCCTGTTCCACTGTGATCCCCCCTCCAAGAAGTTTCATATGCCCCCCCAGTCCAAACGCTGGGTCCTATGACCCTATGAGTGTCAACATGTGGTGAGTGCTAAAGAGAACAGCAGTCTGGGGACACCCTCCAGACAGGGGTCAGGCCAGGGGACAGAAAGGGTCCCTCATCCCTCCCACTGCCCTAGCCATGGCCACAGCCCCGGAAGCTGCTCTGTTGACTCAGTCCAAGTTCAAGGGGGGGTCAGGAGGGAGTCAGAAGGCCCTGCCAGCCAGCCCCAAGGCCAGGGCAGCCACTAGCAAGGGCCATGAGGAAGGGCCCTCCCTGGCCCATGTGGGCTCTGAGTGTGCATGCATGGCTGGTGGGAAAGGGGCCTCCACCTCACAAGGAGGCACTGTAGTGGCCAGGGGGTTTGCAGAGGTAGGAACCAAGTGTCCTGGTGGGAGCAGGCTGAGGGAACTGGCCTGGGAGGGGTTGGGCTGGGTTTGGAGAAGAGGAAGTGAGGCCCCACTGTGGTTGGTGAGAAGGGCCTGCTGGGGGCCACACAGCCCCTCCCTTAGTCTTACTGCAAAGGCTGGATTTGCGGAAGAAAGGGGGCCCAGGCTTCTGGGGCCTACTGAGAAGAGGGCTGGGGCAGCAGTTACCTGGGTGCTGCCCACCCTCAGGAACCCCACCTCTGTGAGCAGGGTCAGGTTGTCAAGACATTTCAGAAGGGGTTGAAGGCAGCATCACCAGCGCATGAGGGACAGGGACCCACCTGGCTTCTTTGTCTGAGCTCCTCCAGCACAGCTGCCTGACTTTGGGCAGCACCTGCTCTGAGCTACTAGGCCTCAGTTTCCCCAACTGCAAAATGAGGTAAGAATATGGACCCTGTGGATTCATGACAGTGCCGGAATAGAACTAGGTAGGGAGTCCAGGCCAGTGTAGAAGTAACCATCCCTTCTGCTGGGGCTGAGATGCCAGAGCCTTGGAGCTGCTCTTCTGGCTAGGATGGTACCCCCAAGACCTCCCACTTCTTTCCTGGGAGCCACAATGCTCACACTACAATGAATACCCTGCCTCTAGACTGGCCCACTTCTGAGACACAAGCCAGTAGCTATTCTGACATTTCCTTCCCAAATAGACAGCTTGAAGTGTTTTCTACCTGCCTAGTCCTCAAGGTGCACCGAGGCTGAACCTCCCCCTCACCTATATGCCCCCAGCTCCTCCAAAGCCACCTCAGATGGACCTTGGGCCCAGGCCCCACTTCCAGCCAAGAAAAGACCAGAAACCCCTGGGTCACTGTAAAGAGCACCTTTATTCACAGCAAAGGACGTCACCATAGCAACAACACTTCAATTCCCTGAGAACTTTCCCTTATCATTTGCTTTCCTAGCTATGTCTTTGCAAAGAGAAAAACAGAAAACAAAACACACCCCCATGGGACAGGTGAACCGAGCTGGGCCCGGTGGGAAATGGCAGCTACAGAGGAGGCAGGACAGGAGATTCCAGATACTGGAACACATAAATACACAGAGCATCACACATGTCCATTTCAGCTTTAAAAACAAAGATGATCCCAAGTTTGGCTTCTGCTTTTTCTGATCCACAGAAAACATAATATAAGACCCTCTCCCACCCCCTGAAAACACAAGACAAAAACACGCTACTTTTTACTCACCCCTTTTCAAAAATGGCACAGTAAAAAAATACTGTCACAATATTTACAGACACGCCCACTGTGGGCGACTTTCTCTCTACTTTGGAGAGGAGATAAAAAGCTCAGCTCTGACTCACCCAAAACTGGGGAGACAAAGGGAAGACCTCTGAGAGCTTGGGGAAGACCCCCCACCCAGGAACAGTGAGAAGGGAGCCATTGGTCACCCACTGGGGTACTTCACGGGGCCCCAGGAACCAGGCAGTGGTTGCTGTTTTTCTGAGCCACAGTGCCCTGGCCAGAGCTTAGTAGGGGAAAGGGGCTAGGGCCACTCACTCCTAAAACCAGCTTCCCTTGCACTGAACATGGCTTGGCTGTACTAAGGGCTCCAGGATTCCAGGGAGGGTTACTCCACTACAGCGCTGTGCTCAGCAGGAAGAGAAAGACTCCTACACCTCCCCGCAGCATAGCCCAGCACCCTGAGCAGAGTAAGATCCAAAAATAATAATGCAACTACCCTCAGAGTGACTTCCAACATACAAATCCTTCTGAGGTGCAAGCCCTGAAGTCCATAGACCCTTGGAGCACAGGGAGCCAGACAAGTGGCACTTCTGCCAGCCTCCACAGAGCAGAGCTGCCCAGCAGTCTGCTGCATAGGCGGGCACACAACACACACACACACATACACACACACATGTGCGTGCAGGCACAGCCCTGGGAGAGCCTCGAATGCCAAGGCCAGGGCAACACAACAGGGTCCCTGGGCCCTTTGGATACCAGGGGCACCCAGGGATAGGGTCTCAACTATGGCTGCTAGAAGATGGCAGTGCGGGGACACCAGGGTGTGTCCGGGTACAGATGGCAGTGAATGGAGCGGAACCTGTAGGGACAGAGTTTGGGGTGGGAGTACTGAGTACCCATTTGTAGGCCCACAACACTAGTGGGGGGCCACACCCCACCCTGAGCAAGCAGGACTCTGGGGATACCTCTACACAGTCATGCTGCTCAGCAACATGCATCCCCAGTCCTGCCTGCCCCCAAGGAACCCTAAGCAAGCCTGTCTGGCTCCAGTTTCCTCACCTGGATGGGTCAGCCTCCACTGAGAAGGGCCCTGTCATGTGGACAGCATTTCGCTTATTCTCAAACATGCCATAGCTCAGGGTTACCTGTGGGGAGAGAGAAGAAGTGATGCCGGAAGGGGCCCCCTTCAGACCTAGAGACATCTGTCCTGCACACTCATCCAAAGCAATGGCAACAGCTGGGGCTGGTCAAGTTGCCAGCTGTGACAAGAGAATCTCCGCTAATTTGGGAAAACACCTGAAAGGCCCAAAGTAGGAGCATGATGCTTCAGAGGAACAGGACAGACAACATGTGATGAACGGTGGCCATGCTGCTGGGGGCATGGAGACCTGCTGGCTACTGATAGTGGGGCGCTGCTGGCTGCCCCCAGATGGTCCTCATCTCCCGCCTCCTGTTTGTTTGAGTCCAAACCAGGCCCAAGGATGAGGTACCTGCTCATGAAGTTTAGAGGCAGGCACCTGCTGCAGGTTCTCCAGGTGGGAGTGGAAGAGGCCACTTCGGATGAGAGGCACGCCCAGCAGGGCCTCCACGATGTAACCGATGGTGCAGTCATCAGGGAGCCGGATCCGCTCAGCAGTGCTCATGAAGTGGCCCCCACTGCAGGAGGAAAGGGCCCCAGACACAGTGAGCTGGGGCAGGAGCTGCCCACTGGAAGCCCCACCATGAGCAAAGGCCAAGGGCTCAGAGAGGAGGTGGAAATGCCCCAAGGGCAGGGAGCAGACCAGCCTCTGGGTCCCTCATGAGAACCTCGGGGCTGTGGCAGCACACTCCTCCACACAACCCAGGGCTTGATAGCACTCTGAGTGGGGTGCCCAAGTGAGGAAGGGCTCCTGCCCAGGGGTACCGAGAGCACTGGTGGACCCTGGTGCCTGCTCTTCACAGGTCATAGCCCAGACAGTTCCTATAAACACAGCTGCCCTCTGAAGACTGGAGCTGGGGAGGGGAAGCAGGAAAGATATGGGCAGTGCCTCACAGGAGGTTGGAGAGGTGAACCAAGCCAGAGCCCACAATGGGGGACCCTTAAGACTGGAGGTGACCTGGCTGGCTGGTTAACAGCCTCACCTATGCAAAGCACTCACCTGGCCCATGGGCTCATCTTCAGGGCCAGCCCACGGCTGATGCAGAAGCCAGCACCACCCGTGGCAAACCAGAAGTGGACAGGACGCTGAGAGAGGGGGAGACATCATGAGACTGGGGAACAGGACCCCCATATGTGACATATGGGCCACAGGGCTGCCTTCAGCCCCTCCCCTACTCTGGGTGGGTGGGAGATGTGAGTAGGGCAGGGAAGAGTGGGCACTCACCACCTTGTTCTCGCTGACCCGCTCTGTGGCCTGGATGGGCCTATCCAGGCTGGGTTTGCCAATGTAAATGTCCTGTGTATGTGGGTAGCTGGCCAGCAGCCGCAGCAGAGCACGAAGGTTGACATAGTTGTCATCGTCCACATGGCAGAACCACCTGAGGGCAGGGCCATCGGGGAGGGTGTGAGGGGCCACAGGGGGCTGCCAGGGTAGGAACATGGAGGGAGTCCCCAGGGGCCACACTCACTTCCTCCCTGATTCGATGAAGTGGTCGTACTCCACGGCCATCTTGCAGGACAAGGCCTGGCGGCTATGGGCAGCTGAGCAGTTGGTGTTGACCACATTGCCTGTAGGCAGGGAGGGGCTCAGAACAGGCCTGGCATGAGGACACAGGCAGACCCCTGTGGCTCAAGAAAAGCGCCCTGGGTTCCAGCGGGGCCACAGGGGCCTTCCCCCACCCTAACTAGTGCCCAGGCCAGCTGACCCTCCCCCAGCCCAGCCCCCTCTAAGTGCCCCGCCCAGTCCATTCACGCAGCTTTTTCCCAGCACCCGCCACCTGTTGCTGCCGCCAGGGCTCAAAGGGACCCCAGGAGCTGAATGGGCCTTATTTGCATGAGAATTGGGGGGCCTGGAGTGGTGGGGCGGGGCGTTGAGCAAACCCGTTGAGTAAACTGCCCTCCCAAGCCTGCTGCCTGTGACCTCTCAGCCCCCCACACGGGGGAGGGTTTTGCTTGATTGAGGCTGACCCCTCCCACCCCAAGTCCAGAGCTCACCCGTGTGCCTAGCCAGGGCTTCATCCTCCCCGTCCGTGAAGATGAATGTCTGGAAGGAGAACAGTGGCCCTGAACAGGCAGCTCTGTGTCCCCACCCTGGGTATGGGGGACAGGGCTAGGTACCCTGTTGTTTCCAAAGCTGGAGCTCAAGCACACCTATTCCACACCCTTCTCTGGGCCTCAGTTTCCCCAAGAGCACAGAGTGGGCTGGGCTGGAACACATGCAGACACTGGCCTTGAGGAGGTGGAGCCTCCCTCCCAACCTCGACAGCTGGGCTCAAGGTCACCCAGGTGCTGGGAGGCACGAGCCAGCCAGGTGGGGCGCCTCACCTACCCGCCAGGTAACTGGTTCTCCACCCGCCCCATGCACCTGGCAGGGCACACACCCTTATTGACACAGCGCCCAGCCTTCCACTTGGGATGGGGGGTGGGGGGCAGGCAGAGTAGGTCGGCTTTGGTAAGCTAAGTCTCAATCACTCGTTGGGGACAAAGGCCTTTGCTGGGCGGCTGCCAAGCCCTAGCGGACAAAGGGCTGAGAGAGAGGATGAATCACCCAGTATTGTCTGCCAGCTTTGTCCCATGCAGCATAGAGAGGGGCTTGGGGTGGCCTTAACTCGGTCAAGTTAAGCAGGAGTGGCCATGCTGCCCATTACCATACAGCTGGCTTGGTTAACTGGGCCGGGCTGGGCATAAGGTCCCACAGGCAGAGTGTAGCCATCAGCACTGCAGTCCTCTAGCCTGGGCCTTTAAGACAACAGCAGTCCCCTTTAGCCACAGTTGTGTGGCCAGTGAGGCAGGTTACCCTCTCTGAGCCAATGCAGCCTGAAGTCACCTACCCAATGGTCAGCAGGGTTGTGGCAGGAAACTGCAGATACCCCTAGGCCATACATAGGTCAGGGTCCCTCATACCTATGCAGCCCAGCCCTCTCCTGCCACTCCAGCAAGGGAACTGGTGGCAGACAGGCCTTGCCCAGGGCCACAGCAAGGCTCCACCTGTGCCAGCAAGAAGCCACCCTCTGCCAGGATAGCTCTGCGGAAGAGGAGAGGGTGACGGGTGGAGCTAGAAAGGCTCTGGCACCCGCCTGGGCCTGTTGGAACACGGGAAGGAATGCTCCTTCCTCTGCCTGGCCCGCCCAGCGCGTGCCATCCAGCTCACCCTGGCGTGGCTGAGTGCAAAGCCTAAAGAGGGTGAGAGATGCTCTGAGCAAAGGTAGCAGAACACTCACAAACACCCACCCAGGCTGTTTCCTTCCATGTATAAATAGGTCCAAGGGGGGCGCTAGCATGTGGAGGCCTGGAGCATAGGATATACCCAGGGGCTAGGAAAACTAACCCATGGCCTGGAAGGGGTCCTACCCTCACCTGGGCAGCCTCAGCTCATCATCTAGCAAGACTAGCCCTGGGCACAAACTTAGGTGAGGCCATCAGCTACAGACCAAAGGCCCAGAGCTAAGGGTGGCAGGTTCCATTTATACTTTCTCTGAACACACCCTTCCTTGCAGAGCCCAGCAGACACCCCAGGGCGGCCGCACGCACAGACTCGCACCCGACCCCCCCCATCTCAGCCCAGGAATGCCGTGGGAGGCAGAGGGCCAGCCTGTGCAGACGCTCGCTGCTGCCTGCCACTGGATTAAAAGGAAAATGCTTTCCTAATGAGATCAAGGGAGGCCTGTTCTCCCGCGCTTTGGTGGTGCCCTAAAAACCCACCCCCAGGCTACCAGAGATTAAAGTCACCTTTGTTCAGCTTGGGGAGTAGGGAGGCCTGCAGGAGGACAGCATCTGGGAGGGCAGGGCTGTGGGGGTGCTGGGCCCTGACTCCCCACAACAGAGCAACCAGGAGAGGAGGGAAAGGGGGCTGCCTTACCGCAGGCTTTATCTACCCTCAGAATCTCAGTTTCCTCCTCTATAAAATGGGCATAACAGAGCTCACCTGTGTGGAGAGCAAAGTGGAGATGGATCTTCTTTCCTCTCCCTAATGGCCCTAGGAGGTGGGCACCATAATCATCCAAGGTACAAGTAGGAAAACTGAGGCCCGGAGATCATACCCTGGGGCCGAGGTGGTCCTAGATAAGCGGAGCTCCTGCTTCCAGCACCCCCAACTTCCCTGATGGCTGGAGGAGGAAGAGCAGGGCAGCAGGGTGGACAAGGGCGGGGGTAGGGGGACACCCACAGGAAGCGGCATTGTTCCTGGAGCCATGATTCAAAGAAACACAGGATGCCAAGTTCTCCCCCCACAATTGTGGCTGCTGCTGTGGTGGCAGCCTCTGCAGCCTGGCCCACTCCTGGGAGGGGCGGGGGAGGTACGTGTAGGCCAAAGGCCAGGCTCTTCATCCTGGACTCCAAATCCCCAATCGTGTGGTCCCTGTAGGCCAGCCCTCCCCCAACCACCACTCCAATTGCTGGTAGCTTCTTGCTCAACCCCATGCTGTGCTCACAATGCCAGATTGCCCTTTCTGGGCAATTTTTTACTCTCAGTCTAGCTCAAGTCGTACCTCCTCCAGGAAGTCTTCCCTCCCGCTCACCCACATGTGGGTCAGATGCCCACCCTGGGCTCTCACACAGCCTCTCTGGGTTTTCCCCCAACACAGCCCCGATCTTGACTCTCCCCCAAACAGACCAGTTCTGAGTCAGCTTGTACTCTGACTTTCCAAAAGGGGGGCCTCTGCTGTGAGTTTCAAGCACCCCTGCCCATAGCACCCCATGAGGGGCTCCTGCTTGTGTACACAGCAATGTATACATGACTGATGCTGGGGGCAGATCCAACCTCTCTTGGGTGGGGTGAGCTCGAAAAGGAAAATTCAGGACCCTTCAATAGTGTCCTTCACAGCAACTCTGAGTGCTTACTGGGCTCACTCTTTTGCTCCCAGGTTTTTTCTTTTTTTTTGAGACAGAGTATCACTCTGTCACCGTGGATAGAGGACCATGGTATTACAGCTCATAGCAACATCAAACTCTTGGGCTCAAGTGATCCTTTTGCCTCAGCCTCCCAAGTAGCTAGGGCTACAGGTGCCTGCCACAATGCCTGGCTAGCTTTATCTATTTTGGGTAGAGACAGGGTCTCCCTCTTGCTGGTCTCGAACTCCTGAGCTCAGGCAATCCACCTGCCTCAGCCTCCCAGAGTGCTAGGATTATAGACATGAGCCACCACGCCCGGCCTGCCTGTCATCTCTTACGATATTCTATTGGAACAGCAATGTTTCTCCCAGACCAGGTTTTGCCAGTGACTCTTATAATATTCTTTTTGAAGGGCCGTGTTTCTCCCATTTCAGAGATGAGGAGACCAAGGGTCAGAGAGCTCCTAGGTCTTGCTCAAGATCAACCAGCCCAGCTGGGACTGCTACCTGATACCCTCTTGACCAAACCCTCTTTGCTGAAGAAAGCCCCCAAATTCCCAACATGAGAGGTGCTCAGAGCTGGCTGCAGCCCAGAGGGGGCTGAAAGATCCCCAAGGTCACACAGTAGGAAGGCTGAGTGCTGGGGGAGGGGGACTGGCTCACGAATGGTGCCCCATAAGGGCTGTCAGTCAGGGTTGTTGGGGGGGGGGGGCCACAGGCCCTCTCATCACCAGGCAACCTGAGTGGCCAGCGCGCCAGCAGCGGTTCCCATGGAGCGCATAGCTGCACACAAGAGGCCTGACGCCTTTCTCCGCTGGAGAAAGGGGCTTTGTTACCTTGCCCAAGGGGCCGGCGTGAGAGCCACCCGGCACTGGGAATCCTAACGGCCTAGCCGCCAAACAAAACCCATGGCCCCCTCCACCCCCTCCTGTGGGCTCACTGAGCCCCTGGGAAAGGGACACTGTGTTCCCAGGAGGCTTCCATGGGGTTCCCAGGGTCCTCTCCCCAGGACCAGATAAGAGCCTGCCCATGGCCCCCATCATGACCTCTCCAGTACCCTGCTCCCAATCTCTACCTTGCCCAAATGGGCTCAGCTAGGCCAAGGGCCCTGAGTCTCTAGGGTCTAAACAGGGTGGAAGGGGCACAGGGTCTACTCTGAGCCCCCACTCTCACATCAGCTGTTCTTGCACCTCCCAGCCTGGGGATGCCTGCCATCCTCCCACCTCAAACAGAGCCCACATTCTGTCCCCATCCTGCCCCAACCCAACCGTCCTGATGTAGCCTCAAGGGAAATTTTCAAAGTGGGGTGTGTCTTCATTATGCCAGTATAAGAAGCTGATGCCCAACTGGTCTGTACTAAGCACAAGCTTCTAGGCCTCAGAGACTCCTGGACTGTTGGGGAGGAGGAGTCTCTGCTTAGACCCAGAAACTCAGGGCTCTTTCTTTTGAGATGTACTCCCTAGAGCCCACTACCCAGCAGTCACCAGTTCCTTATGCCTTAACAAACTGGGAAGGGGTCTTAACCCCTCACATAACCTCTCTAAGGGAAGAAGAGCCTTTCTCCCAAAGGAGGAGTCTGAGCCCAGGGTAGATGCCGCATAACCGAGGTTGGGGACAATGTTTTATTAACGTGCTCCAATGTTTGGGGGTTAAGCAGCATCACAGGGCACCAACTCCAAGATCTGGAGACCGGTGCCAGGGTTCTGGAGCTTGCTGGGGGAATAGGGCCCTCTGGGACACTTACATACTGTATGGGGATAGTGGCCTCCAGCTGCAGAATGAGCACTAGGGGGAAGGACTGACCTCAGTGGCTGGACAGAGATATAGCTTGGCCTCCATGGGACACTGACACCAACTGGATAAGACGGTGGGTCCCACCCCACTTGCCCGCCAGGCCGCGGAGCTCACCATTTCCTTGTGGCGCGAGATCCAGGTCTCCAGCAACAAGTCGAGGCGCGCGCGATGAAACTTTTTGGTGGTCTTGACTGCGATGAAGACGTCCCGGGGCGCGAGAGGCTCGGCCAGGGGCCGAGGGTGGCCGTCAACGGAACGAGAGGCGCCCCCGGGCGGCGGGCCTGCGTCTCTGCGCGCGCGGGTCAGCAGGCTGAAGTACTGGGACAGGCTGTGCACCTCGCGGGCCAACGCTCCTTGCGCCGCCCCCGCCGCCCCCAGCCCCGGGGCCGGGGCGGCTCCGGAGGGGCCAGCCAGGCTTCGTAGCGCACGCCGGCCGCGATCAGCCCGCAGCGGGGGCGGAGGCGGGTCGGCGGTGAGCACCAGCAGACAGGCAAGCAACGCGCCCGCCAGCGCCAGCAACAGACGCCGGCCGCAACGGTTGAGCATGGTGGGGAGACGGACGCGCTGTGCGCCCGGTGCGCTCTGCCTCAGCACCCTCGCCCAGGCCCCGCGCTCCCGCGGCGCCGTCCAGCTGTGCGCCGCTGGCGCCGGGTTCTCTTAAACCTCCCCGCTCCGGCCCCGCCCCCGTGCGCTGACTGGCTCCTGGGCCCGGGGGCGGGACCGCGCGCTGGTCGCCCGTCGGGGCCAGCCGGTCCACGTGGGGCCGCAGCAGGGGGCTGGGAACTGCCTCCGGCCCCGCCCCCCAGCGCACGTGCACGCCCCGCCCCACTCGAGTCGCTCCAGGGGGGCGTTGGTTTGTATGCCAGGCGGTAGCGGGTGGCCCAATGGGGCTGACTAGCGTTGGCCAGGGATACACTAACTGTCCAGCACGCGGAGGAGCGCGCCCTCCGCGCCGTGGGCTGGGTGCTGGGACCCGAGCCCGGGCTCACACGCTCCACACAGGACACCCTTACTTCCTGGCTGTGTACTTCCCCTGCGCACGCCTAGCATACTCCTCGGGACCGGGCAGGGCAGGCCAGGCACACTGGAGCGGCGCCTGGGTCGTCCAGAGGGTCTGGTTCCGGGCAGGCGCCGGCCCGCGCAAGAGTTTGTCCACCTGTGACCCAGGTGAGGGCACAGGTTCTAGCAAGAAAGCACCTGTATCAAATTCCACCCCTTTCCTCAGGGCTAATTTTCTCTAGTCCCGGCTTCACGTCGGGTAGGTTGGTTTAACGCCCGGGGGTGAGGAGAAAGCAAAACTGCTCTTCCCTCACGGGATGAGAGGCCGCCTTCTGGCCCTTTTGGTCCCTCTGCTCTAGCCAGATGTGGCCCAGCTGTGCGACCGCCCTGTCCGCCTCCCCGGCACTTGGCCCCCTCCTCCAGTCCTTCCCACGGGCCGGGCCGGCCCCTCGCACGAGCGGGGGCGGCAGGAATGCGCGCCTGCAGACCGTGTGAGGGGCTGGGGGCCCGGAAGTGGCCAGTGGTCCCCGGGAGCAGGGTGTGAGCCCCCTGCCTCGGCGTCTTCCGGAAGCGGGGGGCGGCTCTCCGCTCTGCTGCACCTCCTTCCCGGCCCGCCTCAGTTTTGGCGTCTCCTCCTAAGGAGGTCGTCTGCAACCACTACGACCAATACGGCGATCCTGGTTCCCTCTGGACTCGCACTCAGCCCACTGGCCCGTTATCTTCCTGCCTGAAAGGACATTTTCACTTAATTACACGCAACTTTGTTGTGTCTCTGCCTGAATGTCAACCACCAGACAGCAGCGACCTCCTGTAATCCCGACCTGCATAGGTCTTGAAACAACAGAGTGGGTGCTCTATAAAGATTTATTGAATAAACGTCTGGCCCCACCACCAGACCCCCAACAAGGAGGTTACCCATTTGCTCTTGGGGCCCTTGGGGCCCCACCCTAGTGCCTTTGCGATGGGGTGGGTGGGGGTTGGGGGTTCCCAGGCCTCTTCCTGCCCGCCCCCAGGTAATTAGCAAGCACCACCTCGGGCAGGCAGATGCCAGAGCAGATGGTGCTGGCTGTGCCCAAGTGACAAGTCTCCCATAGCGTCACCTCCTGCCATAAACCCCTCCCCCATCAGCCAAATCCGAGCCCTGGAGTCTCCAGGCAGCAAGGGAGACTTGGGGGTGGGCAGGAGAAAAAAAGAACACAGTGACTGGGTTGGCTGTCCCTAAGAAGCTGGAGCCCCAGCTTCAGGCCTGAAGGTTCTCTATGCCCACCCCTCATCCCTATGTCCTTCACACCACCCCTCACTGCCAATTCCTGTCTACCCATATCCCTTTTTTGGGACTGAGCCCCCTCCACTGCCATCATCTCTCCCCTTGGTCAGTCTCCACCCTGTCTCCCTATCCCCAGCATACCTGCTCTATTTTTTCTCCTTGCTATAACTTCCCCCCACCCCACCCCCCCAGGAACAGCAGACTCTTCCATGGCTCCCCATTGTCTGTGAGTCCAAGTCCCAACTTGGAACCCACATACCTTGTAACCTAGTCCCAGCCCCATGGCTTGCTGCTGCCTGTAATCCCTCCTCATTCCCCAACAGCCCAAGTGTGGCCAAGCTATGCCCTATACCTGGAATTTAAATCAATGGGATCCATAGTAAGTAGGTAGTAGGTGCTTATACTTGGCAAGAGGTAGGAAAGAGCAGTGAGCAGCTACCAATCTCCCACCTGACAAGGTCCTTCCTCTGAGTCAGCCTCTCCATGGTCCCTAGGCCAGGGGGTGGGACTTCCTGTTCAGAGTAACCCTCCTCCACCTCTGCTGTTGTGCTGTGCCCTCCTGCTCCTCAGCTCACCCTGCCTGCTGTGCCTTTGACTCAGCAACCCAGCAGGCAGTTGGAGCATTGTGCCCATTGTAGAGAAAGTAAGCTGAGGCTCAGAGAGGGACAGCTGCATGAAACCTAAGGAGCAAATGTGCAGAGGGGCATTGCCCAGTCTGGCAGGGGTACATGCTGGGGGTTGAGGTCAGGGGTTCCTGCATCTCCCTGCAGCCAGGCTTGGTAGGAGTGGGGGAATCCAGTCCAGCTGCCAGTCTGGAAACTGTAGGACAAAGCTGGACAGCATTTTTGTGGGGGCTGCAGGCTTTGGCAAGAGTGAATCAATTTCTTTGCTGTCAGGAGAATGGAATTTCGTGGTGACTCCTTGAGGTCTAAAAACTAGTCGGGTGGTTGGTCTAGCTGCCCCCACCCCCTTCCCCAGGCTCAGTGTTAGCCTGAGGTACTCCTCACACCCTCCCAGACCCAGTGCTCCCTCCAGGGCCTACTGGACCAAACAGCCCAGGACAGAAAATGGGGAGCTAGGGAGGGGGCTGGAGAGGGCTGACCAGGTTGCTGAGGAAGCCCCTTGGGGCCTTAGAGTCCTTCAGAAGGGGGCTACAGGTGGGAGATACAGCACATGGACACAACAGTCTGCCTTCCAATCCCAGAGGGGCCACTTCACAGCTTTAAGGTAGGTATCAAACCTAAAGCATTATTCTTCTGAGTCTCAGTTTCTCCATCTGTACCATAAGGATGATATTACTGTCCATTTTATGAGGTACTCATGGGTAATTGGTCAGACACAGCAGGTAGACTGGCCTCCTTGCCCAGGGACATGGGTTTATGTGCTTCCAGGCCCACTGTCTTCCCCTCCTCTATCCTCAGTTCAAGTATCTTAAGGAGCTGGAAGCTTGGACTGCCTGAATAAGAGACCTGCCTGCCTGCCAAGGTTGGGTGGGGAGCTGGACTCAGGGGCAGGGAGGTTCTTCCCCACCTCCTTTGCCCCCCATCAGGCTCAGAGGCAGTGTATGTCCCCATTCTTTTTTCCCTCTGGGGGCTTAGCCTAGGGGTCTCCTGCTGCTGTCAGTCCTATCAGGTCTTGAAAGCTAAGGGTTGGGTCTGCCCTTGCCCCACCAGGCCTTCAGGAAGACTTCGGGGCTGGCTTTGAGGTGGCCATCTGCCCACCTTCCCCTGGGGTGTTTTTGGAAGCTGTTTTGGGCCTGCCTTCTTGCAGGATCTGGGAAGGTCTGTGCAGGCATAATGGGTGACCCATTAACTTGGTAGGAAGTCATCCGAGGCGGCATCTACCCATCACCCCTGCTCAGTGTCCTGGGAACCAGCCTCCTCCAGCCCAGCATCAGAGCCCAAAAAAGGCAGGGATCCCCAGCAAGGTGGGCAGGAAGAGGAGCTGGGGGTGAGGCCTTGGCCAACCTGACACCTCCCTGGGCCTCCATACAGACATAGGAGTGCCTGCCCCGGCTGCTATGGGGCACCAGAACTGGCAGTGCCAGAGCCCCCAAATGCTAAGTGCCTATTGGCTTCCTAAGGGACAGTGGCCTGGCCAGGGTGGTCCAGTGAGTGTCCTGGGACAGATGCTTCTGGGTGAGCAGACACTGCTGGCAGGAGTGGAGGTATGGCTGGGAAACTCATCACAGTGGGCTCTCCTGGCAAGAGGGAGGGGCACAGCAGGGTGGCAGCAGCTGGGGAGGGTGCTACCTGGATGATAGAAGGAGCAGAGCCCCTTGCTATGGCCTGGAGCCAATTCCCTTCTCTCTGTGGGGCTCAGGACTTTATGACAGGGACATGGTTGGTACTTTTCCTGCTCTGCCCACCCCACGCTGCCTTGGGGTTGGTGCTCTGCAGGCATAAAGCAATGACCTTTCCACTGGTGACGTGGTCCTTTTGCCTGAATCCTGGGGCCAGGCCTGGGCAGAGAGTCTAAGCCTGATAGAATCCAGTCAAGTTGGCCTCAGTGGCTGAGTGAGGATTCGGAGTGCACCCTGGCCTGGAGCACCCTCCAAGGCCAACCAAGTTGCTCCCTTCCCAGAAAGTCCTCCCCAATCTTGTGTTACCCATCCCCTACTCTGGTCCTGGCACTGACCACATGGGGTTCTAGCTTCCCATTTACTTGTCTGCCCCCTCACCTCATGTCCAAAGGCAAGGACTGCCTCTCCTTGTCAGGGCCTGTCACAAAGTAGGTGCTCAGTAAACACTGGTGGGACAGATAAGTAGGGGGATAGTTAGACAGATGGGCAGATAGACAGATGATGGATGGATGATTGGATGGATGGATGGACAGACAGACAACAGATGGGCAAGTGGATGGATGAATGGACTGACACAGGTATGTGGACGGCCAGGAAGGAGGTAGGTGCCAGCCACCTGACAGCAAGAGCACTGTTGTTCTTGCTGTGCCCCAGGGCCTGGGACAGTACCTGGCACATATAAGGTGCTTGATAAACATCTGTCTAAAAAAAAAAAATAAAAGAAAAAAAAATAAAAGAATTTGTTTGTCATCTAGAAGCTGTAAGAAAGGATGAAGGGGGCAGATGTGCAGACATACAGACTTTGAAGGAGCCGTCCCCTGCCTCTGTCCACCAAACACCCAGGCCTGGGGAACCTGCGTCTCTGAATAAGGAGGCCTGGCAGGGTAGCTCTCTGGCTTCTGAGGTGGCCAGGGACATGGGGCCCAAGGTGGGCTGTGGTGGGAACTGCAGAAATGCTTGGTGCCTGCATGCTGCATGCCTGCCCTGGG